GTTCTGATCATTTATTATCTCAAAGCCCTGCAGAGGTTTCCCTGCAGGCCCTGCTCCTCCCTTAGACCATCAAATCTCAGCCTGAGGCAGCTCCATTAATTATCCCTTCTGCAACCAGACTCATCCCTCACCTTCAGCAAGCAGCAAAGCTCCAACACGGTTCCTCAGGCTCCCAAAGGGCTGTGGGACACAACATCACCCAGGAGCAGAGTCAACATCATCACCGAGTGTTTATGGCAAAGACCAGCTGTGCCCAGGTCACCCCCCAAAGATGCTGCCCCCCAAATCCCACTCTGTTCTCACCAGGCACGGCAGACGCCCACTCCAAGGATCGCAGCTGAGGAGCAGAAACGGAGCTGTCACGGAGCAAAGCTGCAGCAGCAGCAGCTTTGCTGGAGGGGACGTTTCCCCTGTGGGCAGAGGAGCAGTTGGCACTGCCCTGGGAGATGGTGCAACGTGGCAAAGCCGTGGAGAACGTCTGGGACTCACTCTTGGATCCCCTCGGGGATTTCTGCGCCGACCTCCAGCGCCTGGGAGACTCTTCCCTCACCCCTTCCCTCACCACAGCACCTCCAACGAACACCTCCTGGACTCCTGCCATCATGTGCCCTTTAGGAACAACAACAATGCACCACAGGTTCAAAAACCCCCAGAAAACGGGGACTTCACAGCACAAACCAGCACTTCTCCTTGGAAATCAAGGGACTTTCTCTTCCCCTGGGCGGCTGTACCCACACACAAAAGCTCAGTGCACATCAACATCAGACATTCAGAGCACAATATAGTTTCACTTGCCCGAGTTCAGAGCTACCAAGGCCCTGAGCAGGGCTGCAGTGTGGGAGCTGGAGCAGGAGCAGGAAGGATATGCAGCACTGGGTTATCCTGGGGATGATAAAACTCGTAAATCCAGAAATAAAAGTACTTTATAAAGGCACTGTACCCTGTGAGCTGTAGTACCAACCGAGGCTGGCAGTGCCAGAGCTGGCACCAGTACCAAAATTCCCAATCACCTGGTTATCAATCAGCTCAGCCAGGCTACAACTGCTTTGTGAAGAGCCACTGCTGATCTCAGCTCTTGTCCCTCTTCCTGGACACTGTGTTATTCCCTCTTCCTGCAAAAGGAAAAAGGGCAGCAGGCAGAGCCCCTGGAACTTCGTGGAAACCAGGTCCAGACAGGGATTTCCTTGCTGCAAACAAGGTGAGATTTCTCACTGCCCAGACTCCCTGTTGCTATATCCACATCCTCTGGCTGGGATTGCACACACACCCGTGGCCTCTGGATATCACCTGCTGTGCAAGAAACAGGGGGCACTGGGAGCTCTCCTTTCCTAGAGAAGACACCTCTTGTAAAGGGGTGGATCTGAAAAACACAAGCCAGAAGCTCCCTGACAGAGAAATACTGACAGAGAAATACTTTTTAGAAGCAGCAGATCCTCCCTTCCTCTCCAGGCAGGTGATGAACAGCCCCATGTAGGTGGGAGAGGCATTTGCAGAGGACTGAGAAGAAGCAGGCACATTGTCTAGGAGCACAAAGGATCCAAATACACAGAAGGAAAAGCTGATACCCCAGAAAGAGGAGCCAGAGTTAATCCCTTTGCAGGGCTCCCAACCATCCCGCTGTCCATTGGGACTGGAGGGAATTGGCTGCACAGCAGGCACAGGGGCAAACATTCATCACACCAGAACTCAGCAGCAGCTCCCTAAGTCACGAGGACCTCACCTTTCAAAATATAAAGCAGCACTGAACTTTAGCATCAAAGGAAATAAATCCCACATCAAGAGGACATAAAAGTCTCAGGCTGTGACAAACCCTGGAGTCACCCTGGAGGAGCACTGGAGAGGGAATGTGGGGCTGACAAGGGCCCAGACCTACCCAAGGGCATAGGAAAGCTGTCAAGAGGACTCCAAAAGATGAACTGAAAATTTAACACCCCGGGTCACTGGGAATGCACAGCAGACACAGCACCCTCAGTGGTGCAAACAGCATCTTGAATAAAATCTCTGGTGCTTCCAGAGGAGCTCACCAAATCCCACTTTGCTGTGCATCTTCCCACCAAGCCCCCAAACACACCACAGCTGAACTTCCCCCACCCAGTCCCAGCCCTGGCACACACAGGCTGCTCTGCTCCACATCTGACTTCAGCCTCGTGCCTGAAGAGACTCATTTCCACTGCCCCAAGCCTGACCTCCAGGGCAGCACAGGCCTTCTGGCCTGTGCCCAGATGCCATGGGCTTGCTCCAAAGTTTTCAGCAAGAACAGAACATTTTAGCCCTCGGAAAACTCAGTCTGCTGTCCAGGAAGGAAGGCAGAAGTGCCTTTGGCACAGGGGCAGCAGGAAGGGGGGGCAGTGTGGCTGGAAAGCAGAAGGGAGTACAAGCCCAAACGGTGCTGACTGGGGTGAGAAGCAAAAATTCCGGGGCTCCTCACATCCTCCTAAAGCTACACCTGAGCACCCAGGGTCACGAGGGGCCGCTGGGTGACGATGGTGCCAGGTGGTGCTGGCAGCCAAGGCGCTGCAGGAAGCACGGGCATGACCCCAGGGCAGGCAGCCAGGCTCTCCCCAGGTACCCTCAGCAAAGTGTTCCCCAGACTGGGTGTAGGTGCCTCATAAACAAGATACTAAACGGGACAGCGGCTCCTCCTGTTCCCATTAAGACACTGGGACAGATTCCACCTGGCTCTGTCCCACTGGTGGCCCTGAGTGCTACGTGCCAGTCATGCTCCTGCAATAAAGTGATTTCCGCCGAGTATTTTGAAAGATTAAAAAAAAAAAAAAAAAAAAAAAAAATTTATTGTGAATCCAGGCAGCACAGTCTGAACAACAGAGGCAACTGAATAGATTCGTGCTGCATTGCCACAAGGCACTCATCCACTCGGGGAAAGCTGGCTACTTCAACAAGTTTCTAGAATAAAACAAAACAACAAAACCCTCTGAAGCTTCCAGAAGGAACAATGCACACTGCAGCCCTCGCTCGGAGCAGTCCTGGGCTCCACCAGGGACCATGAGGGAAAGGCTGGCAGGGTCTAAGCAATTGAACTGACTGCAGAGCAGAAATGCTTTGAGGGTCCTTACCATAAAGCTGTCACTCACCAGCAGTGCCATGTTCAAGCACGTTCTGCCAGAGAGCAATTCCACAATTTCATTTCGCAGTGAAGAACTGGTCAGGTTGGAAAAGGCACAACAACTGTGTTGCCCAGTCAGTGCTGCTCAGGCAGCATGAAATGGCAGAAAGCTGAGCTCCAGAGAACACCCCGCTGCAATTCTGGGCTTAAGTTCAGCTAGAAGACTTTGCCCCCGAGCAGATAAGTTGGGACCCGTGTCTGCCCCGGTCCCTGCTGCCAGCACAGGCTCCTCCAAAGTGGGGAGGAGCTGACAGTGGTCAGCAACCTCAGCTAAAGGCACCAGATTTGGCTCTCGTTCAGTCTCAGACAGAGGCACCCAATATATCACCTGGGCTTTGCCATCGGAACATTCCCATCCACCTCATATCTAGCAAACCCCACTCCCAAGGTTTAGGTAAACCTCAATCCCCATCACCATCCTTCCCATCTCCGTGGTGGGATCAGACCCACTCTCTTGCAAGGGACACTGTGGTATTTCTGTCCCCCAGGAAAAGAAATGTTGGCAAAAGCAAAACTCCATCGTGCACGGTTGGACCAGGGACCTTCCTGGGAAGGCAGTGACTGAGATCAGCTGTGTCAAACACCCTGCTGAGCAAACACCCCACCTAGAAGATAAGCAACAGGAGCCGGGAGGGCAGGTAGATCAGTAATGCTCTCCCATCAGAGACTGAAGGGAATAAAGGGCCTACAAATGCTCACAACATAAAAGGAAACCTCTGAGGCCAGAAACTTGATACATGTTGAAACAGAATATACTGACACACAACTCTCCTCTCTTGGGATAGGCTCTGGGCGAGCTTTTCCCTTTTGAAGAAGAAATTTCAGGGCTTCTCAACAGAGAAAGAGCAACACGGTCAAAATAATAAGTGACAACGAAGTCCCTGCTGTTGCAGAGCTGCTCTGAGGGTGCTGTGTGTGCTGTTCAGTTTTGCTGTTGCTCTGTCCCACTAAAGTTTTCTCTGCTGGGAACGGCAGACGCTGCTCCCAAGCCCACCACGCGCAGATCGCTGCAGAGCGATGCTGCAGAACGAATCCCAGGCAAAACTATTCCCCCAATCCAATCCCCATCCCGCCTGGGAAGGGGCTCCTCCAGCTCCGAGGTAAATCCAGGCATGACAGAGCAAAGGGAGGCTCCACATCAACCCTGAGCACGAGGAAGTCCCGACAGACCCAAACCTCCACGTGTCAGACCCTCAGCAGCACAAGACCGGCCAGACCAGAGGTAAATGCAGGAAAGTTGGAGGGAAAGAGATGGCAGGGAAGGGAAGAGGGGTGAGGTGCAGCCCAAAGAGCTCAGGCTTTGAGACAATGGCTCCCCAGCAGCAGCACAGGCTCTCTGGCAGGAAAACGGGCTCATTTCAAGCAGGATTCAACCCCTCAGTTTCGTTTCAGCTCCCATTCCCAGGGAAAGGAGCCGATTTCCCCGCGCAGGCAAGAAACCAGGCGCTATTCCAGCAAACCCAGCACGACGGTGCACTGCTGCTGCCAGAGCCTTCCAACCCATCCCGACCTCTGAGGCTCTGGCTGCAAAGCTGAAGCACCTCGGTTTCCTTCCATGCAGAAATTCCCCATCCCTCACGGAAAGCATCCCCATTCCCTTGGGTTCGGCTCCGGGCCGCGAGGTGCGGATGAGGCTGTACCAGACAGGAACCAACCCCCCTGGAAAGCAGGGCCTGAGCAGGCATTTGCTATTTATAAGCTAATCATCTGATCCCTCCGAGGGGAAATCCTATCCTTTGGGGCTGTTGGGAGCTCAGGGAACTGCGGGAGTGCCGGGGAAGAACAGAAGGGAAGCAATTACAGCAGCGGGGAGCGACCAGACAAAATTCCTCCCCGCTCCTCCTGCCATCCTCCTGGAGAACGGGCCAGGGATTACGAGCAGGGATTAATCTGTTACGCTAATTTGCTAAGAGCAAAGTAATTTTTTAAATAGCTCTGGTCTCCATTCATCATTATCTAAAAAGGGCCCTGATCTAGTTCTGCAAAGAGCAGTAAGAGTCTCAGGTTAAGAGCCTGCTGGAAATCCAGGAACATGTGGATGGAGCCGCCTTGGAAGGTGGAAAAGAAAGGTATGAGCTTTCTTAATTGCTTGGTAGTTATTAATTCCTGGGGGAACATGCCTGTCCTGGGAATTGAGTGTGATGTGCAAGCACTGATTTTACTGTTCCTGTTAACATTTCTCCCTGATGGAAATAATCTGGGTTAGATGACACTGCTGGATTCTGCTGTGAAACAATGCTCAATCATCTCCAACACCACTGCACACACTCAGTGCAACCCCAGAAACAATCCCAGCTCTTTCTAACCTCCTTTTTCTTCACTTCTCAAGGTATTATTGAGAACAAGCCTCTCCCTCAGCTGACAGCAGCCTCTAAAACAGAGGAGAGAGAGGAGGAGTGGGAATAGCCCCGTCTCAAACGGCACAGGGCACAGACTAAACCACGTCTCTTAGAGGAGAAGGCCCAATTCCTGGAGCAATCCTCACAAACTGGGTGGCCAAGAGCCAGGCAGGCCTGGTACCTGCCTCCAGGAGAGCAAAGCTCAGTGAGATGCAGGGACCAGGATAGGGAAGGGCTGCTCACATCGTTCCCTGCGCTCCCGCCGGGACAAGGGAGACTTTGAGAAGCCCCACGTAAACAAAAAACAAAAGCAGGCCAGTGCATATTTGGCAGATCCAGATCACAATAAAAACTGGCAGAGCAGCCTCCTCCAAATCAAGATCTACCCCTAAAGCTTCCCTCGATTTGGATTTTTGGGGTTTTTTTCCTTCCTTTTGGCTTCTTACAGCCCAACCTGACAGGTAAGTGACGCTGTTCTTGAGACAGAAGGGCTGGAAGGACCCTGCCACAAAACCCACAGCAACCATACCTCTGAGGAAATGTCCCTGTTCAGGCTCTCTCAGATACATTAAATAACTGTCACAGCCAGAGAAAGATTCCTACAAACACAGCAAAGGAAAGGGGAACTCAGATGTTCCTAGAAATCAATAAGTGAAACTTTTCAATTTATTTCCCAGTCTTCATCCCAGTTGACTTAGAAATCCATCCTCCAGCAAACTCCCTGAAAGACATCAGAGCTACCTCACAGACCCCCCAAGCAGAGCAGACCCCAGAACTCCCGGGGCTGCCAGCCCAGCTGCTTTTATTAAAAAAAGGAAAATATGGAGACTCCATGTAAAAGCTGGCGACCCACACAAAGTCATCACTGACTCTGGGAAGTTTGTTCTCGTGCTTGAAGCTCTATCACTTAAAAACACACATTTTGGTTTGCATGCACACGTACCACCCCCAGCCAGACTGAATTCCCAGTGTCCAGCCTCTGTCCTCCACATGCAGACTGGCCAGATCTCCTCTCAAGTTCTCGCTGGAGGAAGCAGATGGAGTTCTCAGCACCACATGGCAGCTTTTTTCACCTTTAATCCCAACATCTCTGAACTCTGCACAGTTTTCCACCAGCTCTGAACCACACACAGGCACCAAACCCAGGGGCAGCAGTGTTTGCACCAATGTTGGAGCTGATCTAATGCTCCCTCTCCTCCTCCTCCTCCTCCTCCTCCTCCTTTACAGTGAGGGTCCAAAGCCCACTTCCAGCCTGGCTTTCTGCATTCAATATATCCATAATCTCAGGCAAAAATTCCTGCTTCCTAGGACAGATACCACTCCTCTCTCCCTTGTCTCTCCATCCCCATTACAGACTCTTCCAGAATAGTTTGTTGTCTCTGGTAAAACACATGTGGCCTCCCCGAAGTCCAGTGCCAAAGTAACCAGACCCCTTGTGTTGGATCCCCATTTCCCATGCAGCACCCCGAACTTCCCATGCACTTCCTCAGTTTTTTAGCTGCAAAATTCCTTCAGGTCACTGCCAAAATCACCAGCAGGACCCTTATGAGACTGTTGACATACTGTCCTCAGTAACGTCCCAGGAACCCCCAATTCAACACGGATTGTTTTGAGTTCATCCCCCTTCAGTTAATTCAGCAGGAAAACCCAAAGGCACCGTTGCAGACGCTTTAGGGAAGCCAATGTTGACAACACAGCGTTAGCTGAGGGGGTTCGAAATAAACGTCCAACCTGCAACACCACCAAACTACAGCCAGAACCAGCTCCTGCCCAACACGGAGGGGAGGCACCTGCTCCAAAAACCCAACCCCGCGTGACCCCCGGGGGGTAACCGGGTGCGAACAAGAATCACCTCCCCGGCGGCACAAGAACCTCCCACCCTCCAGGCGCTTCCAGGCGGGATCTCCGCGGCTCCAGGGAGAGGGGGAGCGAGCGGGGCCCGCGGGCTCGGCCCAGGGAAGGGCCCAGGCCCCGAGCGCCGCAGGGCCGGAGCGGTGCAGGGCAGGGCTGTGGCGGCCAACCCGCCCCCGCCCGGTGTGGCGGAGGGACCGCCGCCTCAGCGCTGCCGCCGCCGGGCGGTGCCGCCCCTCACGGACAGGCCCCGGGGAGGCCGCGCTGCCCGGGCGGCGGGGAGGAGGAGCGGCAGCGCCGGGGCGGCGGGAGGGGTTTCCCGGCGGCCCCCCCGGTGCCCCCTGCCCCCGGGGCCCCCCCGTCTCACCTGCCCCGTCGCGGCGGGTCCCCCCCGGCCCCCCCCCCGCCGCTCCCGCCTT